GATTTACTTGTTGCTCAGTCAGACCAGCCACAGTGATAAACAGGAGGCCCAAAATCAAAACATAAATAAATGCCTATGGGGGGGCCAGCAGTTAACCACAAATGAGTTAAGCAGGAATGACTGGGAGCTACAGTGACTTGGAGAGATCATGCCCAATAGACAGGCACAGCCAGTAATACTGAGCCTAACTAACTGCTGCTGAGGAAGATGGTCTCTGAGCTGTCAGATCTTCCCATTGTCATAAAAGCCAGAAATCTGGATTTTCATATAAAACATCTTGACTTTGAACTATTAGCCACTAATTTAAAAGCTGATAAAACACAGTTCAAAGCAAAATACCTGTAAGACTACCAGTTTGTGGCTTGTGCATTTCTCTTAAACACTTGCAGTTTTCCTTTGTCTCTCTCCTTCCCCCACTTTCTCTGTCTCTCTCTTATGATGTTCCCCCCATCACTTTTTCCTCCAGAATATCCAAGCCTAAAGAGTAAGGAAAAGGTTATGTAGAATTAAAAAGCCAGAGAAAATACTAAAATTCAGGCATCCTGTTACTAACTTAAAAAGTTTGAAAATCTTGCAGTCTTAATGATGCCACTTCAACTGGTGATAATTCCTACTGTGCAAACAAAATCTTAATGCTTCTTCAGCAAGGAGCCTGGAGTGAGGTCAAGTACTTGCATGAGCTAGGGAACCAAGTGGTCTGGAGCTAGAGACCCAATTCTGCTACTTGCCTGTTACCTCTATTTCCTCGTCATTTAAAAGCAAACAATTGCTGGGTACAGTGGCTCTCACCTGTAACCCCAGTACTTTGGGAGGCCAAGGCAGGCAGATCACCAAGGAGGGTAGATCACCTGAGGTCAGGAGTTCGAGGCCAGCCTGGCAAACAAGGCGGAAACCCTGTCTCTACTAAAAATACAAAAATTAGGCTGGGCATGGTGGCTCATGCCTGTAATCCCAGCACTTTGGGAGGCCGAGGAGGGCGGATCACCTGAGGTCAGGAGTTCGAGACCGGCCTGGCCAACATGGCAAAACCCCATCTCAAAAAAAAAAAAAAAATTAGCCAGATGTGGTGGTGGGCAGCTGTAGTCCCAGCTACTCAGGAGGCTAAGGCAGGAGAATGGCTTGAACCCAGGAGGCAAAGGTTGCAATGACCTGAGATTGTGCCACTGCAATCCGGCCTGGGCAACAGAGCAAGATTCAGTTTGGAAAAAAAAAAGAAGCAATCTAAAAGTTTGTTACAAGAACTGAATAAAATACTACCATATATAAAATACCTAGGCCTGGTATGTGCCTGGCAGATGGCTGGTGTTTAGTAAATGGGTGTTAAACACACAGATATGGTTTATTATAATTCTTACAGCTTGTTACTTTTGAAAATAAAACAGTAGAGAGACAAAAACTTCCATCTCGGGGTTATCTGATTCAGTTTGTATGCACACTGTCCCTGCTGTTTCTTCCCTTAAAAAGGTTTTAAAACATGCTGTTTTTAGACATTATTCAGTTATTCCTATGACCAATGATTTGCAAGTGGTTTATGACTCATCTTCAAATGCATAGCAATTATCTACAGAAGATGTAAAATTATAATTAAAATGACTAAAATATTTCTGGAATGACGCCCTAATTCTTCCCAGTCAATTTTGTACCCTTTTATCACCATCCAATTGTATAAAATAAAAAAGTATAAATCATACAGCTAAAAGTAAACTACAAAAGTCAAACTTATCACCACCATTCAAATATAAAAATACTACAGTGGCTGGCTTGTTGCGTTCAAGAGCATTAGACCCAAACTCCCTGACATAGTTTATCTTGCCCTGCCTGGGGCAACTACCACTAATCTCTGCAGCCTTTTCTCTCACTACTCCCTCCCTTCTGCCAACTCTCCAAATACACTATATACGCTACACACAGAACTCTTGAACGATGTTCCCTCAACCAGAGCTCACTTTTTCCTCCCTCAAGCCCTCCCCATAGTCAGTATCTTCTCTAATTAATCCTAAATATTAGAATCCAGATTAAATATTTTGATATATCCTTCAGTCTCAGCTTACATGTCACTTTTAAGACTTCCCTGATCGTTTCCTCACAAACTTAGGGTGAGAGGCAACTTTCTTATGTGTTCCTCTAACACCTTACATATACCCATCTAAGAAAGAAGCTGATAATGTAGAATTCAACAAGAAAAAGTCCACATGTTTATGTGCATTATATATATATATATATATATATATATACACGCATATATACATACATATACACATGTACATCATGTTTTACTTCCTAACAAAATTAAAGATTCTAGTAAAATCTCAGAAGCACTACTTGGTGAACATGCATCCTTTTACCTTCTGACTCTTACTTCCATCATGGCCTAATTTCAAAGACTGCCAAAGGATATCAAATATATATAAAAAGTGTTTAAATCTTTCCACTCTGATGTCATATAATTTAAATAAGATTATTTAAGTTAGCAAAATACATTTAACCTGAACAGTTATTTTACAAATATTTTTACTTTGAAAAATTCAGAAAACACTTTTTGCTGTTTTCTTCAGAGCCTCAAAAATGTGATGTTTTTCAAATTCTTTTTGAATACATTCTCTACTACACACGAGTGTGCATGTAACAAAAGTTTCACTGTGGTTCGTTACCTATAATTTGAAAAAACTGAAGAAAAATAATAATAATTTGAAAAAACTGCCCTACATCATCTAATTTTTAATCTGAGGGCTCCCCATTTAAATAGATACGCCACTTTCCACTAGATCCTGAGCTACAGAAGAATTGAAATCATCTCTTTTTCATCTTTGTATTTCATAGCTGTGTGCCTATCACACTGTCTGGAAGTAGGGTCTCCAAAAATATTTGTTGAACAACTGAATTTTACCAAGTAGCTCAACAAATCTTTTGTGCACCTACCATGTCCCATGACCCTCAGCCTTCTTATTTTATCTCAAATAATGCTAACGATACATACTTTGGGGACCTCAACCAAGGTTTTGTCTTAATCTGAAAAAAAATAATTTTATATGTTTGGGAATGGGGGATAGAAAAGGTATTCTAAGAGGTAAATGAAACACAGGCAGGTTTTGAAAACAAGACATACATAAAGGACAGAATACATTTATAGAATCTATATCCTGCAATAATACAAGTTTGGGATCTTTTTAAGAATATTCCATTCATATTTAACACATGCTGTATTTCTAATGAGCAAGATTCTGCTGAAAAGTTAAACTGAGTTTGCACTTCCTGAACAAACCTAATTTCTGGAACTCCCCTAGGCTGTGACATTCATAGTAACGTGTTCAGAGAAACAAATACAGCTTACGTAAACAGCCAAATAACTGTGACTTACTGATCAAACAAATCTAATAATGCATTTTTAAAACTATTTTAGGCATAAATGTAAAAAAGTTCACCCAGGGTACTAGTAGAACTCTTAATAGCCTAATAAAAAAGAAAAAGCCATTAATTCGTTTACATTTTATTGAAAAAACCTAAATATTCTCCATTATTCTAGAATTATAGTCTACCTAATTAAAGGAAATAAAATGCATAGCATGTCAAGAGGGAGAAGAGCTTTTTACAGGTAGCAAATTTCACCAGAAATAAGCAAAGTGCAGAAATGTTGCGGAAAACTGTAATCCTAAAGTATTAACTAAATGTAACTGAAAAAAAAAGAAAATTTAGCAAGTCATTTTTATTTTTTAAAAAGCATTATAAATCTCTGCTAAACAGATTTTTTAACTATATATTTATAATTAACTGTTCTGAACAGACTAAAAACTACATAATAAAGCTAGCACAATAATTTAGCCTTCGATTTATATTTGAAACACTTTTCTTTCAGTATCCTATTGAGATCCGTCCAAACATTTTTAAATGTTTCCCCTAACCCCTTCAGACGACAGGTTTAAATTAATTGTATTGACAAACCCCTATGTTCAAAATCACAGTCCCTAAATCACAAATTTTCCATCCTCCTCAAAGTTTTACTGAGCGTCAACTATACATAGTACACTTAGAAAATATAAAAACATTCTATATTCAAGAGCCCTTCCTCTGAAGTCCTACAATCTAGCCCTAGGAAAAGGTCAAAACGTCCAAAGTAAGACACACCAAGTACTCAAGTAGTAAAGGCCTTCAACCATATTCATTCTTTCTGTTCCGCTTCTTGGAATGCTTTTCCCCTGGCTGGATTCTTCTCATCTTTCAGGTCTCAGAGATAGTTCCTGACACCATCTAGCTATTTTCTACAATAGCATCCCATTCCTTTCCCTCACTGCTTTTTTCCCAGTTTGTAATTACATATTCGGTTGCTTGTTTGCTGGTTTATTATCTGTATCCAGTAAGAGAATACAAAGACATGGACTCCACTGCATTGTCAGTGATTATCAAAGCATTCAATAAACACCTGATAAATTAATTAACGCACAGTTCTGGTGCTCAGAAGAAAGGTCTGAACTAGATCCACTAGGATGTAGGTGACAATTTACCATGAAAACTGATTTTTAAAATTGCCATTGCGACGTGTGTAGGGTTAGAAGAGGACCCAGAATGAAGACCCGAAAAGGCCCTATAGAGTTTTAGCACGACAGGCAAAGGAGACTGTCTCTCTCTTCCAGTCCACCTTATGTTTTTTAACTGTGATATAACTATGCCACTTAAGTATGACTGTGAAACTACAAGTATTATTGTCATCACTCCTTACTTTCCCTATCGGACGCTTAAGTTTTTTGGAAACAGAACTGATGTCTGCTTACCCCATGATACGCTCAATATGTTGCAGGAAGTAAGGTTAAATAATCATGAACCTGGATAAAGGGCTTCTAAGTAGGTGTGCCCGGCATTTCCGGGATTTCCAAGGTGAAACCGCCAACCCCGCCGTCGACCTAAGCGCGGAGCTGCCCAAACCGCCGCCTCCCCTGCAGGGGGCGCCGCAGCCTCCTACGAAGGCCACCGCCGGCTGCAGTCCCCGCCCCCGGCCCCGCGGTCACCTGCAGCGGCTGCACTCGGGCCTTCGCTCTGCCGGCTCCACCGGCAGCTCCCATAGCCCGTCGGCACTTGTGTCGTCCCCCTCTGCGCCCAGTGCAGCCGCCGCCGGCACTGCGCTGCCCTCCTGCCGCTCCTTGTCCTTCGGTGTCTGAGACCTTGAGGCCCCAGGCGGCCGCTCGACGGGCTCCTGGAGTGTTCGCGCCTCTTTCTGCGACTCCATGGCGGACACTCCAGTCAGGCCGTGGCATTGAAGCCCCGTTGCCGCCGGGGGGCGCCAAGCGCTGGATAAACCGGCCCGCGCAGCACAGCGCCCTGCACGCACGCCACGTACGGGGGGCGGGTCTCCGAAGCCCGGCTCGAGGTCCCACCCTGCCGCTGAGAAGGAACTAGCGCATTGGCCCAAGCCTAGTGGGATAGTTCACTTGGAACCCGGAAGGGAAGTGTGGGTGGTGCTGGAGTGCAGGTGAGATTAAGTAGCGTCAGTGGGAGAGGTAAGGGAAGCCTCCCTGAGAGCACCCCAGTACCGAGCACGAATTTAACCCCTTGAAAAGTGAAAATAAAATGAAATTCTGTATTTTCTCCCTTGGGATGGCAGTTTAACAATTTGCAGGGTTCCCACGAGTGCACGCAGCGCAGTTGCAGCAGCTGATTTACTTATTTAAAGGCCAAAAAAGGAAAGGTTATATGCACTGGAAACTACTCACAGCTGGTCCATTTCATTATGTGAATTTCTTGCTGTTCTGTGTGTCTTGTGCTAATATGGTATTCCCGGCATCAAGCACACTGTTTTACACTGGACACCAAATATTTGTTAAAAGAGGTTTTTTGATTGTCCATGGCTCCCGGATCAGGAAGCAATAGGAGAGCTGGCTTGTTTTGTGTATAAGGAAGCAAGCCCTAGAAAGGTAACTACGTTGCCCAGGTGTTTACAACTACTGGATACGGCAGTATAGCACAGTAGCTGTTTTTTAAAAGCCCAAATGAAATCTACGTTAGCTTGAAGGCAGAAATGCTATATACCCAAAATGGGTGTCGAATTCCTTTCATCTATTAATGCTTTGTGTTACTTCCAGCAATACACAACATTTAAACAGAGAATTAAGGTTGGTTTTCATTAATCATGTGAATTACGTTTAGGAATCACAGTTGTCTTAACTCTATGGTTGTAATATATTAAATGTGAAGCAAAGTAGACAACATAGTAATAGAGCAAACACTGTATTAAAGTGTTTATTTCACTATTAAATTTTTCAGTCATCTTAAAATCAATTTGTGAATAAAATACTGGGCTGTTGTGGCCGGGCGCGGTGGCTCACGCCTGTAATCCCAGCACTTTGGGAGCCCGAGGCGGGTGGATCACGAGGTCAAGAGATCGAGACCATCCTGGTCAACACGGTGAAACCCCGTCTCTACTAAATCTACAAAAAAATTAGCTGGGCATGGTGGC